AATAAAATAAAACGAATGAAGAAATATAAGTATAAATGTACTGATGCTTTAATACTAGCATAATATTCAATCTTGTGATTCTGTCCTAGAAAGAAGCAATATACTGATTAGCTACATTAAGATTTTGCTGTTATATATAGTCAAACTATGATGAAGTTATCGAAGATCGTTTTATATATTTTGGTTAGTCTAATATAAATTAGAGTGTTCTTAAGGTGCTTTATTGTGGCTTATTATTAACAAGTTAAAAAAAATTCGTAAAATTAAAGATTACTCTGGGAAGCTGATTTTCACTACAAACTAATATTTTATTTTATTTGAACACATAAATATTGGTACAAGAGAGCGCCAATATATATGCGCCACACAAAACAATGGGAATTCGAAGAGAAGTAGAAAGAAAAAAAACTAAGGAACACAAAAGAAAAAGAGAGTAATGACGAAGAGGTACAATCAGAAGAAATCTTTCAGGTAAAGGAGACACAACCACCTTTTATGAAGAAAGTAAAAGAAGGTTACAGCAGGATCGCCACTGGCTTCTATTCTGAGCCATATCTGATAACGTCTCTAGCCACTGTGTAGCACCATCTCTCGGACCCCAGCCAGGGAGTCGTGAAGGACCAACACAAGCCAGTCCTTTGCAGCTTTCTTTCATGCCACTACACCATGTCATGCACTGACCACCTCTCCGCTTCTTCCAACCAGTCCCAGAGTCGGCAAATAATGCACGACGTGGAATTCTCTGGGACGACATTCGGAGAACATGTCCAAGCCACCGAAGTCGGTGTTTCAAGATGGTGACACCAATTGAATTATCATCTCTGTGCCCGAACACACGATGCCGAACCTCTGCATTACTGACATGGTGTTGCCACTGAATTTCAGCAATCCTTCGGAGACAGCGATGATCGAACACAGAGAGTCGTCTAACGTCCTCAACTCGGAGAGGCCAGGTTTCACAAGCATAGAGCAAAACTGCTCTCACCGACGCGTTGTAGATCCGGCCTTTTACAGCCAGACTAACATCACGAAGGCGCCAAAGGTGGCCCAGATTGGCATAAGCCGCTCTGGCTTTCACTATTCGTGCATTGATCTCATCACTCACACCCCCACCAGCACTTATGCAGCTACCCAGATACACGAACTTCTCAACTACGTCTATCTGCTCACCATCCAGGGTGAGTACAGGATTAGAATCCTGCCAGTCTTGTAGAAGTACTTTGCACTTCGAAGGTGCAAAGCACATACCATACCTACGGACATTGATTGCCAACTGATTAAGTGCGGATTGCATGCCTTGGGCATTATCGCACAGTAAGACAATATCGTCCGCATACTCAAGGTCGAGAAGTCTTTCTCCAGGCAACAGATCCACACCACCATTACTTACATTCATCAGAGCTGTTTCCAGAATGTCATCGATGGCAAAGTTGAAGAGGAATGGTGAGATTGGGCAACCCTGTCTAACCCCACTGCTCGAATGGAACAATGGAGAGAGGTGGTTGTATGCCCTCACTCTGCCTGAGGTGTTTTTATACAGGGCTTTTAGGATGTTAATAAACTTCTCAGGCACACCCTTCTTCAATAGACAATCCCAGAGAACAGTCCTATCCAACGAATCGAAGGCAGCCCTGATGTCAAGAAACACTACGATTGTTGGCCTTTGAAAAGTATGGCGGTGTTCTAACATTTGGCGGAGGGTGAAGATATGATCAATACATCCTCGACCAGAACGAAACCCAGCCTGCTCCTCGCGAGTCAATCTTTCTCGGGTTTTGAACAACCTACGAAGAATGACGGAAGCCAATAGCTTGGACGCAATCGGAAGTAAACTTATCCCCCGATAGTTGTTACAAGAACGACGTGAACCCTTTTTAAAGATAGGGACAACTATCGACTCATTCCATGACGTTGGTACACTCTCTAGTTCCCAAACCTTTGTAAACAACGTCGTCAATTCCTTAGTCAAAAAGTCACCACCATCTTTAAAAAGAGCCGGAGTTAGGTCATCTGGGCCAGATGATTTGTAACGCTTCAAGAGTTGGAGTTCCTTGCGGACTTCCTCCTCATTTGGTGGATCAGTCGTCACCGGCCATGGAGGGCAGGACAGTCTGACCGACGTTACCGGAGCAGCAGGCCAGTTGAACTGCCCTTCGAAAAATTCTGCCCATCGTCCAAGACGTCGATGGATGTTAGTGATTGGCATCCCATCATCCTCGCAGATTGTTTCACTCACACCAGACTTCTTGCTGCCAGTGGCTCGGATGAGTTGGAAGAGCTTCCGGTAGTTACCAGATGCAGCTGCTGCTTCCAGCTCATTAGCACGCTTCGACCACCAGGCTTCTCGGTCCTTACGCAAGCTTTGCCCGATTTCCTTACGTAAAATCCTTCGTTTATGGTCAAACTCACGGTTACCCGGAGTAGACCGACGGGCTTCAATGAGTTGTAAGGAACCAGAAGAAACCCAGTGCTTAAAAGCGGGACGTTTCGCAAACCCACAACTGACTGTTCCCGCCATTTTCATGGCGTCATGCAATTGCAACCAATGCTCATCTATACTTTTCGGTGGAGTGGTAGCTAGCCTAGAGGCTAGCTCGGTTCGATACTTACTTGCAACAGAAGTTGCAACCAGCTTGCTAACATCAATCCGTTGATGGCGTTCACTTCGTTGTCCACTGAAAAGTAAGGCAAGATTGGCGCAGACCAAGGCATGGTCAGTCAGGAAGCAATAACTTGTTATTTTGGTGGTGTTTCATTTTAGTTCTAGACTTTTTAGCGGTTACGACTCTACTCGAGGTTAAACACTCCTCAACGCTTGAAGCCTTTCTATTGTCTTTTAAGTGTCTTCAATCATTAAAAGAAAATATCTTACATTTACTTAACTATTCATAAAAACAACCCACTAAATCTAAAAGTCATTTATCTAGTTTTATCTAAACATCATCATAGGAATAATTATAATCAATATATGTGAGAAACAGGTCCGGTCGAAAATTAGTAACTTATCACTTGTTCAATCTTGCTTAAACGTCGATTTTCTTTACAATATGATTATGAGTCATTATGTTCAAATGAAATATAATTATGTCAAGTTGTGCAGTTTGCTACTGCTATCTAGAAGAAGTTATCCTTCATTATGGTATGTACTAGTCTTTTCCGGATTCTTTTAACAGTATAAAATCTTTTTGATGAACTTTGACGTCTGACTGTTGCTGTAGTGGAAGTGTACTAGTGAATGAAGACCTTTTTTAGATTACGTGTAGTATTATGTAAATTACACTGTATTTGTAAAATATGAAAACAATGCATTAAATACACTATTTTTCCACCCTCCTTATGTCCTCTCTTTCATTACTGATGTTATTTTGATTGCTTTCTGTCTTTCTTTTCTGTCCGTTAGAAATCCTACTTTCAATTCCTGATGTATACTACTTATATCTGTTCGTACACAAGTAGTATACATTATAGTGTCTCTTTGAAATATGATGTTTACTAAAACTTCTCAGATGGTATTTAACTTTGTTTTTGCATTATTCCTTCAATAATATATCTTGAATGCGTTTATACCAAAGAGATGATTAGCCATTTTATGCCGATTCATTTACTTATGTAACGAGACGAGTTGGTACTAATCAATAAAATGTTAGCATTCGTGTATAGTTATGATAGCTCTCCAAAAGCATATTTCCTTATTATTTCGTAGTCTGTCAACTGTTTGATTTAGAAAACAGTAATTTTGGGTCATCAGATTTCTTATTGAAAATGTAATACTTTCTGATATGTCATTTGTACATATGAAAACTAATCAACATTATAAAGTTATACAATAACAAGTATACCATCCAATTAAATCAGACTTATATTCTATAGATGGGTCTAATCTATCAAGGTTGTGACATAGAAACTGCGTATTCAGATACTAGTCATCTGTCATGATGGCTAACATAAAATTGGAGTGAGGAAATTATTAGAGTCGACTATGCCAAAGCGTGCGCACAGTTCGAGCAGTCATTCAACAATTGTCCGTGCAGTACAGAGAAGTGTTGACTCTTTGGTTAGAATCCACGCAGAGAGTGTAGTTTTTGATAGACCATAAATAACAACTCATAATCGGTTTCATTAACTTTAAATCTTTAGTGTTTACATTACTCACACTGTTAATTCCTTGTACTTTCGAACGATACTCTCAGAATTTAGTTTTCCACCATTTTCACTGTTTTACTTTACAGTTTTATTAATTTTTTGTCTTTGTAATGACAATTTCGGCGGGTGAATTTCTGTCACAGGTTTTGCATTTTTTATAACTGACTAAGATCTAATCGGACTCATCGTTAAGGAATAATATTCGATTAACCGCATGATAATAAATTGCAGTATTTGAAAAGAATCATAACAGTAATTCAAAAACTAGAAATTTACAAATAGAGCTGAATACATTGTACAAGTATTTAATTCTACTTTATTTCAATTAAATACTTTATCTTTTCTCATTATTACCAAACACATCTCAAAATAATCTCCGTACTGAACAGTTCGCCCTATAGTTATTTCTTATGAATGTAGATCATCTTCAAGAGAACTGCATGGATTTGAGTAGGTGGTTTTCTCGTTAGAGATTATTTATATTGTACGATTTATATACATTATCGTCACTAATACTATTTAGATGTACGAATTAATCATCACAATCTTAGTGTTACGAACGTCACGAATTCCGCAGACATCACGCTCCATAAATCAGTAGATTTAAAACGGATAAACCGACATCGTATCAGAATTAAACTACATCAAGTACATCTAAAGCTTATAGATAATACTCTTTGTTTCTAAATATTTAGCGAATTATATATGAGAAAGGTTTTTTAGATTGTTTCAATTAATCGTCCAATTAATAAAAGTAAAAAAACTGTGAACTAGGCAAATTTTAAGCTGCATTAACTCCGTATAATCACAGTTCTAGTTTGGGTTTTTAAACCACTTCCAAACACAAAACAAATCTTTCGACAAAAAAATCATCATTGTGACGACTTTATTTTCAAATGATGTACCAATATATATGAAATTATAATCTAAATGATAATAATATGATTTCGTTAACTTGTGGAGTAAGGTCAATACCACTGAATAAAATACAATATATGAATAGTCAAAATAATCAGAAAATACGAAAATTATACAAGGCTAAAGATCGAGCACATGTAAGAGATTATGGTAGAATTTTCCTTCAAATTATGTGAATCAATGTCATTGTGAATATGAAATGTTACGAGATAAAAATAACATTTGTAAATCTATGTCAAACATAACAAATTATACTGCACTCAGAAAGAAATACCCTTGAAGTTTAGGAAAAACAAAGTCAGAGAAAGAAGAATATGAAAGTGTATAAGGAACCAGGGCTCAGACGTTAAAAAAGATCTTAAAGCCTATTTAACGTAGACGCAGAATCAGCTTGGAATTGAAGATAGCTAGAGCTTGAGTAGTGGTAAGCAGACAAATGCATATGCCTATGGATAGATATTGTTTACTTTTACAAATGATATCAAACAATTTATATAAGTTGTGTTCTGAGATTATACCATAGTTTTTCGTTTGCATCTACTAAGCCAAATCACTCTCGTCAGGGAATACTTCTGGACAAATAGATTTTACTGTTATCAGCTAAAATGTTTGTGAAAATATTCGAACTCATTATATTCTATAGTAGCAAGTTTCGCATTTTTTAATTTACAAAAAAGTAAAAAAAATTACTTGTGACTGATATTAACGTGATTAGTAGAACTACACTCATAAATAGGATCTATGTCAGGAAACTGGTTTGAATCTTATGATAAATGGATGCGATAAGCTGCATCATTCAAGACCCTACTATACTTATTTCTAGATCCAACTAGTTCTGTATTCACAGTTTGGCACTACTATGTAATAACGACTGGGTAAAATAAAAACAGTCCGGAAGAAAAAGATTTATTGATGTTATTTTCTCAAGTTGTACAATGGTATCTACAGTTATTTTACACATTAATGTATAATACAATTTAAAAATGTTGAGTCATTAGCACAGGTAACAAGAGTTAATCAAAAATTTTAAGAGTAATAAGAATGAAAACAACATAGAAAAGAGGTGTGGAAGTTAAGTGTTCACTTGGCGAATATATGGAGAAAAGAGACAGATACATATCATAACAATTTAAAATAAGGTGTTAGGATCATCGCTAAATAAGGGATTAGATATATCACTTTTGATCTCAAAGACCAACCTTGAATTGACGAACCGTCAAACCCTTTGCTATACACATATTTTTCAATCGGATGCCCTTATAACCAGTTCGCTTGACTTCATGAATTATATAGAATTGAAACAGTTTAAAAATAAAAATAGTAGTTGGTTCGCATTCACATTTTGATAATCATACTCGGTAGTGTTCAGATATGCTTTTGGGAAGAGGATACATATTGGAGTTAACAACATATTCCACACGAGCAAATAAACTGACAGATGGACACGGAGGTAACCAAAGCAACGGTTCATCCTTGAATTAGTTACTGCATAATGCAATCCGTAGTTCAGTTGAATCGAGTATCTCACTCAACAATTTTGACAATGATTTCTTAAGATCACTGCAACTATACTCCCTCGCATTAAGCTCAATGTACAAGAACAAAATCTTCTTCAGTACTATTTCTTCTTTTTATTTAGCTCTCTCGTTTCAGTTATTTGTAAAGGAATCTGATAAATTCCGTTTTTATGAGCATTTCTCCGACTCTGTTTAGTTTTTTTGCTGAGTGTGCCCTCCGTGAGAACTCTTGTGGTTCTCAGCAATACGGAATGTAGTACGTTTATCGTTCTGCCTAGTGAAATCCAAATCTAGAAGTTCGTACGCTGTCAGTCTCATGTCGTTCTTCTATAGACTGGTCTTTGCAGAGACTAATCCGGTTTCCTTTTCATAAAAACATCAAAAAAGTGAAATTCTGTGCTCAACTCTGACTTTCTGGTGGTACATGTGGAATTCTGTTGAGATCCCAACTCTCGTCACAGATAATGAAGATATCATCCATACATACCTCGTAAAAACAAAAGTCACTAACTGTTAATCGAATAATGGTATTTCCCAGATTGACTATTAAGCCTTCTGATAAGAGAAGACCTAGTAGCGACCTTAATGCCATACACATTTGTCATTCTTTTTCCAAATACATTGGTGTCTATGGAAGTAAATTAATTGTTGGCGCTATGTTTGTTGATCTGATCTCTAGCTATTTAAGGAATTTGCACAATTCAGTTGTCAGTCAGTCAGTCAGCTACAACGTAGGACCAGACACATATATGCATTGGTCCAAGTTGCCATACCTCATTAACACAACAAGATGAACACCGGATTCATAGCAGTGGTTAGGTCAAAGGTGGTAATATATAAGAGAAAGATTGCATATATAGATATAGTACAAGAAGAAAAAAATTGGTTCGTAGAAAGAAAGATGTGAAGCGATTTTAATCTCTTAGTTTGAGGGAAGACAGGGAGTGTATACACCGACGCCATTGTGATCGATTCTGAGCCATGTCACCGAGAGTCTCCAACCATTGATTACGAAAGTCACGCGGACCCCATCCAAGTAGTCTGCATCTACCAACATTGCTCAGACTAGAAGTTAGTGACTTCAAGCACTGATGCCACGTTTTGGTTTGGCCGCCCCTAACTTTCTTCCAACCATCCCCTACACCAGTTAGCATTGCACGTCGTGGTAATCGGTGTTCAGGCATACGTAACACGTGGCCCAACCATCTCAGTCGATGAAGATTCATAACCTCATCAACTAATTTACCATCATTCCCTAATACTTTGCGTCTAACCTCACTATTACTTACCCGGTGATCCCAGCAGACGCCAGCAATATTTCTGAAGCATCTCTGGTCACACACTAGTAGCTTACGACTGTCTTCTACTCTTAATGGCCATGTTTCGCTGCCGTAAATTAAAACAGAACGGACTGCCGCCCAGTATACTCGTCCTTTTATTGATAGACGGATATCTCGCCTTCGTCACAGGTGATGTAAGTTGGCAAAAGCCAAACGAGCTTTTCGAATCCGTGCTGAGATTTCGTCAGACACCAACTCATTAGGGCTGATCAGACTTCCAAGATAAGTGAAGTTGTCGACGCGTTCGACTACTTCACTCCCTATCCTTAGTTCAGGTGTTGACGCAAACCAGTCCTGAAGCAACAACTTGCATTTAGAGGGAGAGAAGCGCATCCCAAACATTCTGGCATTGTTGCTTAGTGCTACCAGAAGACTCTGCATTTTGTCAGCGTCTTCACCAAACAGGACTATATCATCTGCGTATTCTAAGTCGATAAGTGGACCTCCTGGTAGGAGATCAATACCCGAGAATTCAGTCGACGAGAATGTTATTTCCATCAGTAGATCTATGATGAAGTTAAATAAAAATGGGGAAAGTGGACAGCCTTGACGGACACCACTTGAGGTTGCAAAAGTAGATGACAGTTCGCCATAAGCTCTGACTCGACTAGTAGTGTTCGAGTAAAGAGCCTTCACAAGGTTTATGTACTTCTGGGGTACGCCTTTCAATGACAGACACTGCCACAGAATCTCGCGGTCTATCGAGTCAAATGCTGCTTTTAAGTCGAGAAAGACCACCATTGTCGGACGCCGATAAGTATGCCTGTGTTCCAGAATCTGACGAATGGTGAATATGTGGTCGATGCAGCCACGACCGGGTCTGAAGCCAGCTTGAGTCTCTCGTGTTTGCAGTTCACGAGTCTTAGTTAGGCGTCTGATAATTATCGAAGCTAGTATTTTAGATATTATATTAGTTAAACTAATTCCTCTGTGGTTGTCACAGGATGATTTTGACCCTCTCTTATATATTGGGACGATAAGTGATTGTGATCAGTTAGATGGGATAACGTCTAACTCCCAGATCCTAGCTAAAATGTTAGTCAACCTAATCGCTAAAATTGGACCACCATCCTTAAAGACCTCTGGAGCCAGTCCATCTGGACCAGCTGCCCTTCCTCGCTTCAGATTAACTATAGCCTTTTGAACTTCAGCACGAGTTGGGGGACCTACTTCAATGTTCCATTCACACTGTCTGGGAATGGAGGGTAGTTGTAGAGTAGCTGAAGGCCAGTTGAACTGTTCTCTGAAATGTTCCGCACATCGTTCTAAACGTCTGGACTGGGAGCAGATGAGTGTATCGTCTTTTTCCGATATATCTCACTTACACTTGACTTATTAATTCCAGTTTCTTTTATTAGTCTGTAAAGCTGTCTTGTGTTCCCTATAGTCGCCGCCTTTTCCATCTCTTTTGCTTTCATTGCCCACCACTGCTCACGGTCGTTTCTTAGACTTTTTCTTAACCTAGATCTGATTTGTTGTCGCTCTTCATCATGTTCGGAACCTTCTGGGACGAGTTTGCGAGAATCCATCAGTGTGATAGACTTTGAAGAAATCCACTGGTTCTTTGTAACTCTGTGGTTTAAGTCACTGATAGATGTCACTGCTGTTCCCACAGTTGTTTGTATGGCTTTCCAAACAACAACTGGGTCAACCTCGTTTTCAGAACTACCTAATCGTGACCTCAGTTGTTCCTGGAACCTAATTTCGGTTTTCTGGTTACTCAATTCAGTTCTAATGGGTCTTTTTACTGTGGCTTTTTTGCGTCAAGTGAGGCGCAAACAGATGCGTGCCCGTTTGAGGGCGTGGTCGATGTTCAAGCAGGTACACTAGAATGCGCGACAATCTTCTACCGACCCTCTCCAACGATGACTGATGGCAATATGGTCTATTTGAGTCCATCGTTGGTTTGGTGTAGGGGGTCGCCATGTTAGACAATGTCTCTCCTTATGCTTAAAATTTGTGTTTGCTAAAAATAAGCGATTGTCTGAGCACAGTTGCAGCAGACGGTCAACATTATCAGTTCGCTGTGCCGGAATGCTAAAATATCCACCTAAATGCCTTTCTGTTTGGTTTAAGCTACCTATCTGAGCATTAAAGTCACCCCCTATGGGTACTATGTCTGAGCGTTTAGCTTTCTGAAGAAGTTCAGAAAGCTTTCTGTAAAATTCATCTTTCATATCATCTGAGCTGCAGTCAGTGGGAGCGTAGGCAGAAACGACGAAAAGGCAACGACGTGTATCCCTATCCTTCCGAGATTTTACGGAGCCGTTCAGCCGAACAGCACATAGACGACTGTTAACGGGGATCCACTCTAGCAGTGCTTGTTCCGCCCTCATGCTTAGTGCTATGCCTACACCTGCCAGTCCACGAGAACTGGCCATCGGGTCACCAGATACACGGAGGGTGTATCTCGTTGGCTCTCCGTTTTGCCAAGATGAGGTCAAGTGAATGACCACACTGGAGTCCTGTATGCGTGTTTCGGAGACACAGCATACATCAATGGAAAGAGACTCTAGGGTTTTAGCCAAGGAAGCCTGCTGACTGATTTGACATAGGGTGCGTACGTTGAAGGCTCCAATGTGTAGTTCGGAGCGAGGTTTCAGTAGACCTGGGACAGGGTTTTGAGCACTAGAATCGTTGGCTATGGTGACACTTGAGGAGGAAGCCGAAAGAGGAAGTCTAGAGTGGAAAGTCGATGTAGGAGGAATAATAGGAATTGAAGAGGAAGGTTGATCATGAATACAGTGGTATCGAGTGCTGTTAGAGGTATGAGGGCGGTTATCACTTCCCAGTTGCCCACACCGAGGAAGGGTTCTTCTGGAGGTACCTGAAAAGAAAATTGGATTAGAGGTGGTCTCAGTGACCTGAGAGCATGACCGCAGTGCCCAAGGGACAACTGCTTGAGGCCGGTCGCGCACGGCCTTTTTGTGTAAGGTTTTTGACGTGTTAGCTCCGTTCTTCAAAGGGCCTTACCGCCGGAGACGGAAATCCGTGAGGTAAGGCGAGGTGTGACATTTTTAGGGTCGACCTTTTCTAACCCCACCCCTCCTTGTGGGAAGGCAGCATCGCTGTCATGCTGGTTGTCTGAAGGAAACACCTTACTGCTGTCACACCTCTGTACAGTTAGCAGTACGACTTCGCCTTCGGACCTTGGGTTTGTTGCTTTTAGTCTTACCGCTCTTCAACCAACCTGTCTGACATGGTAGGACCTTGAGGAACGGTTGTTCCAGCCAGTATAGCTCGGTTGCTTCATCACAATAGGCAAGCCCGACCACCACGTCAAGGTAGCAACAACGGTCGGTTGTCAGTTGCATGGTATAGGGTGTTATTTGTATTCGTTATAGAACAAAGAGAAACATTTTTCTTGTGTAATTTTGGCAGTCCATACAAACGTGAAATCGTAGAACTAACAATAAATCATCGATGATGATTAATTAAACTTTATTAGGATTTTTCTGCATTTGTTCTATTCGGTAGGTTACATCTTTTTTTGTCGTTTCCCTGGAAAACTTGCGTGCATCCATTATTATGACGAATAATTGAATTGCAATACATGAGGACGATTTTAGCACATTTATGTAATTCAAGCAACACTAAATCCCAATTCTTTAAAACATAAGTTATTTGAGATCTGCCTTCTTCTTGACAGGAGTCATGTTGTAGCATATTTTGCCCCTCTCTCTTACTTATCGGGTGTATATGAGTGTTTGATTCGGTCTGTTTTCGACACTTGATAACAGCGTCCCTTCACAGTAGTACGAGCACACTGTTAGGATTTATCTCGTTTGTCCTTAGATAAGTCATTGAGTCCGGGTGTATGATCAACCTTTCATCAACCTCGTCCTTAGTTAATACATTTGTGTCCTAAGCTACGGTTTCATGACTCCATCTTCAATACGGTGAATGAGACTATTGTTATTGTCTTCTTCCCTGCCCCAATAACTGGAGTAAGACGTCCTGTTGCTGTATAGAGGCCTTATTGGTCAAAACTCAGTAGAATTCAAAATAAATTTAAGACAATCAGTTATATATTGGTTACGATGACTATAGTTTCTGAATTGAGTTATCAATGTGCGTAAATCATAGTGAAAAATGCAATTGAAAGTTTATTAACAGAATTCAAATTGAATAAATTAATATAACTAAAATTCATATTAGGTAGATATTAACTTTATTCTAAGTTGCATTTAGGAATTTCACATCCATAACAGATTCCCACACAGATAACTGTGATAAGATGAAAATAATAACCTTCGCTTACAATTATATTCTAAGTTTAACGTTTACCTGTGGACAGATGCTACATTTGTAAGAAGTTTCACGACAGTAACAACTATTATTTTGAGGCCTGAAATTTTCAAAGCGCCTATTTTTTATTCAAAAAACTTATTAGGTTTTCCTCATCATGAAAAACAAACAATTCGACTTCAATGTGAATTACATGACATGGTAAAGGACTAAATTAAAGAAATGGAATAAGCTAACAGTTTCTGGATTCTTGTTTTAAGTATTCTAGATGAAAAACAATTATGAAATGCATTTGCTCGAGATTTTATTAATTTCCGAGATAAAAAAAAGCAATTTACTTATAAACAGTGAAATAAAGTTGTTCGCAAAAAGCCTGGTCCATGAATTGATGTTACTCGGAACAAGCTACTTAATATTATTAAGTAGCCATACCACTTATCCTGTGCAAAAAGTCCCTTCGGTTAACTATGACTTGCAAGTATGTCATTGAAGTAGATCATATTGGTCTGGATTTCCTTACATCCGACTGAATTACCGCATACTTTACAAGTGACCGGGTGATATTGCTTCATGACATTCCGGTTTGATTTCAAACTGCTTTCTGGAGATTTTTTCGCATTTTGTGGTTTTGATATCGTTCGAGATATGATTTGAGTTTCGTCCACAATACAATTGATAGGGTATTCTGTATAATATTGTGTCTTGAAATGTGGGTGCCTAAAATTAGAAAACCATATATAGTTTAAAATTTATTTATTCCTCAATGTTGCTAATCGAGAACAAAATTTCAAAGTACTAATATAAAATAACTCATCACGCTTTAATATTATTCTAGTATGTCATGTTATAATGAGATATGTCCAATCACATTCTTTATCATATTGATGCGATCCAAATCGCTTAATCCACTTAGCCTACCACGAAGATGTAAGGAGACGTTGAGTTATAAACCAGAAGTACCCAAAGATTAATTGTTATGCACCAAATCATCGTGAAAATGATTGATAGAGTAGATGTGAATGAAGGCATGAATGTGAGCGACTATAAATGAACGGAATGATAGATACAAAGTCGCACTTTTTCGCAAACACTTCAATAATTATGTTCTGAAAATAGTTGTTTGAAAACCCATAAAGGGTTAATGCTAAAGTTATGACGAAACATGTGGTATTATCCAAGCCAGTAATGTACTTAAGTAGCTAAAATCCTTTATCCTGTATGCACAATTTCTAGTTAGGGTTTAATAATACCGTGGGTACCTACATATCTAAAATCAAAACCAGACATTTAGGTATACAAGTATATCTTCGCTTAACCACATGAGGCTTAAGGTAGATTTCGATTATTCCCAGTCGTTACAAACTTAATAGCACACAACTACAACACATATTTCGGCTCAAATAAAGCCCAAACTTACCTATGACTAACTAGAGATAACACAGACATACATCCAGGACAGTTAAGGATGGCATCAGATTTCTCGCTCTTCCCTCCAGGGAGATTTTCTTGCACCCATTTAGCATTAGCCTCATCTTCTTCATAATCGCAAAGTGGATCTTTATCTACTGGAAAGTCATCTGTATGTGTTGAAAACAAATCATTAATAAGCAGTAAAACATACCGTCATCGTCATGATCCTTTTCAAATCTCACTCTGAGATTTTTATTTTGCTTTTTTCCTGTTTTCAAATCCGTTGCTTTATGGTGAACGCTTCTGATCAGTAAATCAAGCTCTTTGTTCATTAATTCATCAAACTCCATAGCTTTAGCTTTGGAGATCTCGATCGCATTGACACTTCTGTTGTCATAACACAAATCACTTTAACGAAATAAAATGACACGAATGATGATTGATGATCATAAATTACCTGGATGAACTACTGTCAGACTCACAACCATCATAATCTGAGGAGAACATTTGGCTGTAATAAAAAGAAACGCCAAACAAATTAAGTGGTAAATGCGGTCAGATACCAATCGAAACTTGACATTTAAAACAACTCTAAATAATCTGAAGTATTGTTTGGGCGAAAGCATGAAATAGAATGTCACTTTCGAAACTAAAAACCTTATATTGTAACAAAAAATGCCTCAGTAGTGTTTACAGTTAGAGATGGGTGCAACTAATAATGCGAATTCAACAACACTATTTAAACAAACTCTTCACTGTAGGTATCAATTTCAAGGTTGATTTTGACAGTTTCAAATAAATTGATCATTGGATAGAAAGTTAGTGGAAAACATTCTTTTTGTTATATCTCAATGAGCAGAAAATTGTATTTCCGATGTTTTGCGACTTAATGTAAGCCACATCTTCAGAGCACATAAATAACCGAATAAAATTAACACAGGTTTAAATGGTAAGAAGGAAACAATTAAGAATATTTTTAGTACAATCAAAATCATAATAGTTCTGAATATGTCAATGAACTTCTCACAGTATACCTATCCAGTACAATGTAGTAGTAATACAGTAAGATGTATTTCCGCATATGAATTGGTCAAAAAGTTTACCCTATCGCAATCGACCCTCAAAGCTTTTTACTACAAATTACAACGTATGGATGTCAAATCTTATGTTTCTAGGTTATACATTACACTCATACATTTACTGATACTTATACAGATTATACTGTTTTCGTATGAGTAGTTTGGTTTCCAGCTTACTAAGATGAATTATTTAAAAGGCTTCTGATTCTGTATTTACCGTAAAATTCAGATTTTCTGTGGAACATGGCACTTAAGAAGTTTCTGATTGACGTTTTGCATTATCCTTAATCAAATATTTTCATGGTGGCTGGCTTCTGTGTATCTCTATACCATATATATATCAATTAAACAAACAAATTCTGTTTAATCATTAAAATGGTATTCAATTGACACAATGGATAGTGATATTAGAATGACTTCCCAATAAACCGTCCCACAAATTTGTATAGAAAATCAAACTACACACTGTTATACCCAAAAAACGTTATTGATAAATTTATTTGGTTTCATATTCCTTAATTATGAGCATCCAAGGCAATATAATAAAGTTGTATATATTTCACTATGTAAGTGTTCCACTGTAGAACAGTAGCGTATAATTTTGTTATGAACGAATTAACTAAACGAATAAGTCATTCTAAAATATATTTAAACATGAAAGATATTGAACACGTTCTGTTATTTAGCCTACCTACATTAGATTAATCGACCTACAAAGATAAAATTTGACCTGAATATTGATACAATCAAGAGGATAGGCAATAACTCAGTTTTTCTTTCCGGAGAATTTATACGTGATTGTTAAAGTCGTAGACACACTATTATTTCTATACTTAGATGAAACATGGATAATAACATCTTTAATGCTTTCTAATAATAACGAGGAATCAGACGAACATACTTATTTTTCAGAATGATTTGTAACGCAAACTAAACTGAACAAAGGCACCATTGATAACCAACCAACTCTCCACATACACACATGAAACGGGAATATAAAATTTGTCAATATGTACCTAACCGCAGCCATTGATCAAAACCACTAGGGTCGCACAAGAAAAAAATGAAGTTACAGATGTCGTTTCAGCAGAATTTAAGAACATGGAAGTAAGTCCAGATTGAAATCGCTAAATGCATTTCCTGATACATGAAATTGGTAAGATTGCGGTCGGAACGAGACTATAATTTATGGGCGAACCAATCAGATATAAGATATCTGGTGAGAAACTCAGTCATCTATTTGGTTAAATAGCGTTTCTGGATTTTAGATGGTGTCATTTTGTGACAAAGACCCTAAGTCTAATTCCTAACCCAAACCATCGACCGTAAATCATAATTCTAATTCCTCACTATGGTTCATGACTCTCATTTAGGTGGACAAGCTCAAGGTCACTTTGGCGTCGCTCAAAGGTCACCCATAAATTATAGTCTCACCACGGTCGGTCAGGATGCGATCCCGAGGCCTGAAAAGAGTACAAATGACAATCACATATGTTACCATCTGAATTGCCAAGTAACAGTTTGGAAAGCAATTTGTTCGTTTCATTGAGTTCTACAAATTGATAAATACGGAAACGTATTTGAAAGATATCGTCGAAGAATTACACCCTGTTCTAAATTATGGCTTATAAATAGAAATAAATAAATTGAAAATAGGTCGGATTGGGTTGCTACACGTGTTAAAAACGTAGCTACAGGAAATACACAGTCTGCGAAGTTTCAGAGAACACGTGCATTTACAGATTAAAGAAATGCTTAAGACGGGAAAAATAGAAACCTCGGAAGTTTATTACCCTAAATCTTGCTTTAAAAAGGTAACGAAAAGTCTTGGAATTGCTTAATTCTTAAAATGATGGTGAGAGTAAGAGATATAAATAACTTCCAAAAATATATAGAATTTCAGCTTAATTTACAAATTTTCAACGAAACACTCTTGAGGTTTCAAAAAAGGGACTATATCTGTCGTTTTTGATCGATATGGCTACCAAACATTCTCTTATCTTAACCGTATTATTATTCTCAACTCCTAATACTAGTCTATGACAAATCTTACCCTAATCTCCAACTCCCAATACTTTCGATTATGATTGATAATTCACCAGATATATCGAAATTTTTCTACACTGTGATTTCCCAGCCTCGATGCTTAAACTTTTGCTATATAAAAGTGTCAATTTTTAAGTGGTTGAAAACTCTACGGTTGGTGCCGAAGTATGCTTTAGCGGTGTGGAATTAATCTGTACCGTCTACAACCATTTGAGAGTGGGAGAATGTAACAGGAAAAATTTACAAACTAAATCTTATTTGACATCTCAATGACGATTCAGTGTTTTCTACAAAGAGTTATAAAACACGTCACTTACCAACTCCGTTTGCCAGATGAAACCTCAGATCAAAGTGTGCAGCAATCTAAGTTGCAAACAATAAGTAGGTTGTCATGAAATTAAGCAATTTCATCTGATAACAAATCAGAAACTACAAAGTCCAGGATAACAACATGAAACACAAAAATCAATGAGTAGATTTAACAACAGTAACGTAACGTACAAACGCTGCGCTTTTTTCTCAGTTTTATGTACAACAAGACAAATTGTCTTTTATCCTACCACAAAATCGATATGGCCATATTTGTCCTCCAGAATCTTGAAAATGGACAACACTTAGGAATATATTTCAAATATATAACATATTTTTGAGTCAAACAATATAGCCGATGGTCTCTTTAAAAAAAGATAGTGATCCTGTAGTGTCAGTTATTATGGCAAGCCCACATACCTTATTCGAGCTTTCGGACATCTCATTCTATTCATTTTACTTGAGCCATACATTGACCTTGTTATTTATTCGCTTATCAATCTAGACTGTTTTTTATATGAGCGTATATGTGTGTGCCCTTCTTATTCTATTATTTACATGTCTGTAGCTTTATTTTGTCTGACTATAAATATTGAGTAACGCTTGACAAAGATGGAGTTGGCTTCCCAGCCATCTTCCATACGCGTCATTTTTGCTTTGCTGTGCTTCATTCGCTTCATGTACAAAATACATGTATTCACAAATCAATTCTCGTTATTCGACTTATTTAATTCCGTTATTGACTAACGCGATTTAAGTGACTATTATATACGAGAGTAGGCGATGCCAATCATTCGTACGATCTAAGTGGAGTCAGATCCTCGGACCAACAAAATCCTAAGCACGAACTGTTGTTAACAACCCTGAAACCAGAAACAAATTGGATAGAAACACGTCAAGAAATCCTATCGTATGGTATCTCTGCAATATGAGGTCGTTCAATCGTGTCGAAAATTTATTGTCTCCAATGCACTGTACAAGTTATCCTACCCAGCGCTTTGATCAATCTTCACGTTCTTATTAGAACGACCTCGGTGGTCTTATAGGAATGAACGAATAAGAAAATGGGCGTGTTTCCGTGTTAGCTGCCAAATATCTAACATGCGTAAGGATTCCAATTGGCGACCGGTGTCTGTGGCCACGAAATGCTTCCAGAGTTGCAGCTGCTATATGGGAGGATGGAAAAGTTATCTTCATCAGCCAGGTCTAGAACGACCGTTCTTTTGGCTAGTGCCGCCACTTGTTGAGTCAATATTCTTTTGAGTTTCAAGGACTTCCTGATAATTTTTCACTCCCGAATATCAGAGTTTGTGTGGTCGGCGCATCGTACACGATGATATTTCCTCCGTGAATAAACGTCTCACAATGTTTGTTAAGAATGTTCCGCATCAGACTGCCCAGAATAAGTTATATCAGGCAGTATTCTTAAATTTCCATCCGATTTCATTTAGTGACTTTGATGACTATGATGCTTGGAGTCCTTTCCCCGAGCAAACCATGTGTATCAGAGGCTCTATTTTAGACTATTCGAGCTTCGCTTTCAACTCTTCACAGAGCATCCTGCAGACTAAGGGGAAGGTCAGGCCTATCTTTAAGGTTCATTATCTTGAAACAGTCATCGCGAACCGTGATCGTCCACCCAGGTTTTCGTGTACGTTCAGGTCGAGGACCTTGATGTTTGTTGGTTGAAGCAAGTTTCCGATTCCTTTGCTTTTTGCTGACTGGTTGGACAGAATTAGGAGTAGATAGTTTGGTCCAATCACCAGTTTGTTTCACTCAATATCTGGGATGTTCTGCTTCTTGGACGGTGAAAACCGGTCCCTTTCAACTTTGTTGAAAGAGGTTCAATCGCCTGTGGAGCTTTTGAAGACAACCGTTGCATTAAAGGAACCTGTGTTTTAAGACCCAAGTTTGCCGAGGAAGTCTGGTACCGTCGATGATACGATGGCGTTAAGGTACGGTATGTCCTCACTGGTGTTAATACATGCCCCATTAATACTAACGTTGTCAAGGTCCCATTTCTTTTCTTCACTGTGCAATTTTTTTACTCAATCTAGGACTACCTTCCTTCAGGTTTACCGATAGCCGAAAAGTAAGTTGAGACAAAAGCATAGTTAACCATTGACTTGTGTCAAATTCAGAAAGAAAAATAATCTAACGAACGTAAAGCTCAGGACAGATTCTTTGAATAGAAATGGTAATTTTGTTGCGTAAGGATACGGCGAAAGTTTGAGAAATGAAAATCACGTTATCACTAGACTTCCCGTTCGTAAAGTACACGTACTAGTCAAGTTGGCAACTCGTTGGAGAAACATAAGACGCCGCCGCACTTAGACTGCCTATTTACAGAGGAAGAATTTTTGGTTTACAACATTTCACTCCTGGATCTCCTGGGGAAAGGTGATCACGAAGTCGTAGCCCTACGCTTCATCAACAAAACTGAGCTAAGACATCCTACCAACGACAGACACTGGGATTTCAAACGGTTGGATGTATCAGCTTAACGGGACAATCTAAAACACGTGAACTGGAAAGTTCGCCCTCAACTTGATATGAATGTTCATTGAGATTTCTTAATGCTCACGATTTTATGTGCTACCACCAACGGTCCCCGAATTCTACAGGGAAACAACGGTCATCAATGATCGCACACTTCGTTTGCTAAACCTTAAGAGGCACTACCGGGAGGAATACAAACGAACAGCTAACAACAGCGATCCAAACAAATAAGGAACATATCCACAAAGGCAATAAGAGAAGACAGGCTTCAGTACCAGATAAAGCTTAATGAAAAATTTGTCTCCAATCCGAGTGCTTATTCCGTCATTCAGCCTCTCGACAAGCCAAACCCTAAGTTTTTCAATTGCTAGGGTCTAATGGCCCAACTAACAACAACGGTAATGCGGCTGACCATCTAGTAGAACAATACCCTCGGATATTTCTACCAACTAACATCAAATATATCGATGAAAGCCTAACCTGTAACTCCACAGGACTTTCAGAAGTAAACCAGAGCGCTGACCCGATGTACCGGATGTACTTGATCTACTAAAATAGACACTTCTCCTGGCCAGGATATGGCCCATTTTGCTTCACGGAGTGAAACAGCTTCAATCTTGGTAACGCTGCTTGGTGTGATGTTCTTACATTCGCTGAACCGAGGCACATTACCGGAAATTCGGAAGTTGGTTTACATCACGTCAACTTTAAAAAGAGGTCTACTTAGCGAAACTTCAAGCTACCAGCCGGTAGCACTTCTATCCATACTCTGAAAAATTATGCGACGGTCTGCACGACTACTTACTACCTATAAACTTATTTCCACACCATCAGAACGGCTTCAGGAAGGGTCATTCTTGTATAACCAACCATCTGAATGCAGTGGACAGATAAACAACCATCCTTATCAATAAGCTCAAATGATAAGGTATCAAATCAAGTTCGACTGATTGGCCTACTTTATATCTAACGAATTGACATTTTAAGGTCAGGGTTAACATCAATATCTCTCAGGATATAGAATGTCTTAGTAGAGTTCCCCAGTGTTCAGTACCAGGACCACTGCTATTTGATCTGTATAAGTGATCTTCCACAGCAGGTATCATCTGACGTATTACTTTTCACTGGTGATGTGAAACTTCGGAGAGAGCAATGCAACCAAGAGGATAAAGTGGCATTTCAGGTGGATCTGACTCGACCTCAAAGTTGTCGAATGGCAACGCACTTACCTTTAACACTTCAAAATAAAAATTAGTATATCTGAGACATGTTGCAGAGTACGGCTACAACTTAGGCAACTCGCCTCTAGAAGTATCCGAAGTTCGAAAAGATTTAGGAGTGCTGGTACCCTACGATTTGAAGTCTTACGCTAACCGAGACAGAAGTACTTTTGGATGAAGAAACTTTCATCATCATTTAGAGTACGGAAACAAAACATTTCTTCTTTCACCCCAAAACGATAAGTACACTCTGAAGCGTATCCAACGGCGAGCACGAAATTTATCTCTTATAAAAGCGCCTCCAGTTGCTGAACTTTTACCGATTGAAATACAGGTGTCTTAGAAGTAACCTTTTAATGACTTACAGAATCCTTAACCCTTCTGTACATCCCTTTAAACACCTATTTAAGTTTAGTCCGAACACAAGTCTAAGCGGAAACACCCAGAAACTGGGGACACAACACGGGCAGGACGGACTGTAGACACATCTACTTCTTAAGAGTAGCCAAATACTGGAATTGACGTCCGGCTGAGCTGGTTCAAGAGACTTACCGGTAGTCCTTCAAGAGAAAGCTTGACATATTCTTAAGGACTGAGGACAGTATGTTACCATGATTTACCAACTTTTTTCCCTTTCCTGTTTTATCGTTGATATACCTGAATCCACTGCCACTGGGTACGGAAGTCTGTCAAGCAAAAGATTCTTTCATTCCGTTTAGAACCCTCCGAACCATTTGGACATTTTACAGCCAGACCGTCATCTCTTTATATTAGTTTTTTAAATCGCTGGTCAAGGACAAATTACTTAAGTAAGAAATAGACTAAAACATTTGTTGATTTATAGGTAAATAATTGAATTTATTATTATATACAGTACCTATAAACAGTTTAGTCATAACTTGACAGAATAGATACAACTAGACCGGAATAACGGTGCCATTGGATCGACACCGGAAATAGATCTCTTTGTAATTGGACTGGAGTCATACTGAGACTGGCATATAGAATCACTAGCTGTTGTAATAGAATGAAATAAGACTGGGAACAGAACGACCAGCATCTGTATTGTAGTAAAATAAACCCAGGAATGCTTTAGACTAGTATAATCTGCGCTTTATTTAATTGAATGCAAATTGACCAGATTGTAGCAATAAACAAATCCCCAGAATCAATAGGTCTGTAGGCCTTCGACATCTGATACTGTGTTAGTTTTACTGGACTTACATATCTGAAGGCGTTCGGTCATGAATCCGCACCGGATCATGAGTTGGTACTCCGTGCTTCACTTCGCCTACAACAGCTAGCCAGATTGGATTGATCACTGCTCGATATATTGATATTCTGTCAAATATGACTTTGAATCTCTTCGCTTCTGACTTCCGTTTTCACTGGGTTGGGACATTTCGTTTCCAAAATTATTACTGGTTAACGTGTTGTCAAACTCTGAATACTTTTGACATCTTTAAGAGTATCGATGTGTGGGTCTCAAGT